TGCTTTGCAGTCAGTTTCATTTTCAGCTTGTGAGACTCTTTTTTTCTCCTCCGAAGCATGTCTCCACCCACTTCTCATGCAAAGCTACTGGTGGCCCAGTTGTGGCCACCGGTCCCTTCATTGTGCTCCGGTCCCTTAAAGGCCTTTCAGACCCATGCCCATCTCCTTGGAAACCCGAGAGAGAGGGAAGGAGTGGAGTTGTGCAAACTGCTCTGTGGTTCCCAGTCGAAATTTGTCGCAAGCAGCGTTCCCTCTAAGCTGAGCCAGTGTGAGCTAGCTCACAGTTTTTTAGCCTCCGGCTCACACATTTTCGTCTCGGCTCAGGAAGGAGAAGCAAACTAATATATGCAGTAGCCACATCACTCGCTCACCGTTTTAATGCCAGTAGCTCACCAAGTACATTTTTTTTCTCACAAGACTCCACAGCTTAGAGAGAGCATTGGTCACAAGTGGTTCAGAAGCACCATTCCGGTGAAGTGAGGGGCCCTGAACATAAGAGGAGCCATGTTGGATCAGGCTAACGGCCCATCCAGTCCGGCACTCTGTGTCACACCGTGGCCAAAACCCAGGTGCCATCAGGAGGTCCACCAGCAGGACCGGAACTCCAGAAGCCCTCCCACTGTGGCCCCCCAAGCAACAAAAATACAGAGCATCACTTGCCACAGATCATGCCCCCCCCCGTCTTGCCCCATTCATCCAGTGCTAGCTGCCCTGTGCATTCCATTGGCAAGCAGCCTACACTGCCGCAGCTTTTCGAATGTGCTGTTCTAGCTTTTTCCCTCATTGTTCTAGCCGAAACAGCCAGCAAAACAGACACAGGATGCGCCACCCCCACGTTTCCTGCAGCACGCCAATCCAGAGCTTCCAGCCTTGGCGGTAGCAATTGGGGGGGGGGGAAGGGACCCAGAGATCTGCTCCCCCCCCGTGACTTCTGCCAGCCAAGCTGTTCTCCATGTTGGGGGTATGACCTTGTCCCGGTTTCTGTGCCCTGGTGCTATATTTAGAGGTATCTGTTCATGGAAATTCAAACTAGGCAACCTCCGTCAGGCGGCACCTGGGTCTCGAACTGCTGAACTACCGACCACCTGGTCTACAGTCCAGCATCTTAACCACTTGAGCCACCGTAGCCCTGAACAACGTAACCAAATGGGGTCCTAAATCAGGCTGTCTTCACCCGCCTCCCAAAGATCGAAAGCAAGGGGTTCAGTTGCACCTCCCTGGGGAGGTTGTTCCATAATTGTGGGGCTGCCACTAAAAAGACCCTCTTTCTACCCACCCAACGAGTTTCTCTGATCGATGGGGCAGTCAAGGGGGCCTCTCCCTGAGGTCTTGATTCCCGGGTCGGTTGTGTTAAGCAGCCCGAAGCCGATGACACAGGTAAAATCTTGAATGCCTGTTTTATCTTTCATTTAGGTAAGACTTTTCTCTCCAACCTCTCCCTTCTGGTTGGCCTTGCTGTAATCTTTTTTTTTTTTATAAAGTCAGAGTGAGCTTTCCAACTTGTGGTTTTCCTGAGTAGCTGCCCTTTGGAGTCCTTCCAAATAATCGCAGGCTCTTTGAAGATGGCTCTTTTTCCGGCTGCCAGATGCAGCTGTTGGGGGGGAAGCTTACTGTAAACGATGCAGGTGGCGTTTGGAGGCAGCTACGCAGCACCCAAGGCTCCCGCTCGGATGCGGCTTCCCCTCGATTTGCGAGGGCAGTCGTGCCTGAAAGGGGCCCCAAGACCGGCCGTACGTCAGAGCCAGCGCTTGCCGTCTTTTACCATACACCCCATCAACCTTCCTCCTCCTCCCCCCAAGCCATTCAGAGCCCGCTTTGCCACTCCTCTTAATGCTGACGGGGAACTTCCAAGGCCCTTGTCCTGTCTGTGTAGGCCCCGCCTCATCCTTCCCATCGCCTGCAATCCAGGGCAAGTGGCAAAGTTCCCTGGGTCACCCGTGGGGCAGGAAGGGCAGCGCCAAGCAGTGTTAGCGGAGCTGTCCAGTTGTGAATCCTGTAGGATTGCAGAAGCGCAGGGAGTTTTGGGGTTCTTATCAGACCCCCACGAGTGCCGTACGGTGTGCTGGGTGGCAGCCCTGGGGAGCAGGTGCTTGTAGTCAGTGCTCCCTGTAAGCTGTGGAGTCCTGTGAGCAAAAATCCTACTTTGTGAGCTGCTGGCATTGAACTCATGAGCGTGCGATTTGGCTACTGCGTCAGTTTGCTCTGGAGCCATCCTCCCTGAGCAAAGACAAAAAGGTGTGAGCCGGAGGCTAAAAATCGGTGAGCTAGCTCAACACTAACTCAGCTTAGAGGGAACACTGCTTGTAGCGTAGGGGGTCTCTGATCTTTCCGAACCCGCAGGCACCTCTGGAGTTCTGAGAGAGGGCGGCAGGCACGAAGACAGAACAGCCGCTGCGGGAGGCGAGGCCAGCCACAAAATATCAGATCCAGGTGGGCAGCCCTGTTGGTCTGAAGCAGCAGAGCAAAGTTTGAGTCCAGTGGCACCTCGAAAACCAACAAAGCTTATTTCTGTGTGTCAGCTTCCATGGGCGTGCACACTTGTGCCGACACACGAGAGCTTATGCCCAGAATTAAACTTCGTTGGTTGCGTGCACTTACGTATGCACACAAAAGCTTATACCCCAAATTAAACTTTGTTGGTCTTAAAGGTGCCGCTGGACTCAGACTTTGTTCCGCCGGCTATCAGGTTGGTGATGCATAGCCAACCTCATAAATATGAGGTTATGCATAGCTCTAATAGTAACTCTTAAGCATTTAGGGCAGAGGGTCTCTTTAACAGGATGCCTTTCGAAAGGAACATAATTGTCTTTAAGTGTTTGTGGTGGGCTGTTCTGCATGGACACAGCTTACATTTAATCACGCTGCGAAGATCTTTGTGCTGTGCTGGAAGCTGCCGCCAACCTTTTAAAAAAAATCTGCCCAGCCAAGCAGAAACCCCAGTGCACAAAAGCTCTCGTGTGGCCCCACCTGCTTACTACAAATCCTTGGCGGGGGCCAGGAAAGGTGCCACTGGGTGCCATGTTGTCCACAGGTGCCACATTGGGGACCCCTCTTGTAGTGGAAAGGGCACGACGGAGCTTCTTACCTCCCTTGTGGAGTTCAAAGCGCACTTCAGGCCTCCGGTGTTCCCGGGTCGAGAAGCAGACTGAAGGGGCGTGGCTGTCCCATCCCTTCCGTGGTCTTTCCTTGTCTGTCCTTCAGACAGAGGTGTGTGTGTGTTGCATCACAAAACCCTGCTTTGACTGCTGGTGGTTGGGCTGAATGGCAAAGCAGCTTGGGGGGGAGGGGGGCATGATTGGCACATGTAGAGCTGCAGTAGAGGATAGGCGCAAGGGGTTTGTGTACATCTGGAGTGACGAGGGGTCGTGTGTGTGTCGCTTCTCCTCCGCCCCACTCAAACGTTCAATGCAACCTTTGGGGTGACTTCAGACGTCACACAAAACTTATTTACGGTTAGTGTGAATCTAGTCCAAACATAAGCCGTGCTTGGAGTTTGCAAAAGCAAAGTCAGAAGCCATTATTTGAGGTTTGGTAGATTCAGCCACAATGAGTCTTAACTCTGGCCCCCTGCAGTTCATGAACGCGTGTTCCTGTTGTATCATAACCCATGCCCCTTTACTGGTGTTGGTCAGTCCTTGGGTTTCAAACGGCCTCTTCTTTAATCAGTTTATTTGCCCTCACTTATGGCACTTGTGCTCATCTTCACCACAAGCAAAAGGAGAAAGAACCCTTGAGCTCTCTCTTCCCCACTTGGCCATGGTGACCCTGGGCCAGTTGCTCCTTCTCAGCCTAACCTACCCCACTGAGTTGTCACGAGGATAAAATGGAGGAGAGGAAAACGATGGAAGCTGCTTTCTGTCCTCATTGGGGGGAAGGCGGGGTGTAGTGGTTACGAGCGCGGACTCTAATCTGGGACAACCGAGTTTGATTCCCCACTCCTCCACATGCAGCTGCTGGCGTGACCTTGGGTTAGTCACAGTTCTCTCAGAGCTGTTCTGGAAAGAGCAGTCCTCAAGAGAGCTCTCTCAGCCCCACCTACTTCATGGGGTGTCTGTTGTGGGGAGGGGAAGGGGAAGGAGATTGTAAGCCACTCTGAGACTCCTTCGGGTAGTGAAGGGCGGGGTATAAATCCAATCTCTTCTCTTCTTCTTTAAATGAATTAAATAAATTTATTTATTTATCCTTGGATTTATATCCCGCCCTACTCCGAAGGCTCAGGGCGGCTGACAAGGGCACAATGTGCCCTTAAATCATCCATTAAGTCTCGCTACCGTTGAAGTTCAAGCTCCCCCCTCCAGAGAATCTCACCCGATTTATACCACAAGGCCTTTCTTTGTTCAGCTCCTCCCTCTTTTCCCTTCTCTTTCTGTGATCTTCTGTGTAACGATGAGGAAAATGATTTTCTTTACTTCCGTTGTATCTGAGGAAGCGAGTCCTGACTTATGGAAGCTTTGCACGGGAATAAATGTCGCTAGGTGTCACTGGACTTCTGTTTCATTACTCCCAAACACGGCCACATTGCAGGCCAAGGGCGCTCGCTGGTCCCCTTGCAGGAGAGGCGAGGAGAAAAAGAGCAAAGGTGTCTAAGCCGGCATTTGTTGAGGTGGATCAGGGTCCGAATTCTTTCTCCACAAGTCCGAATCCCAGGTTCTCAAGCTTAGCTGTAGTTGAAACGAGCCAAGGTTTCACGTTGGGTCTGGCCTGAGTGTGGGGGAGGCTCCTAGTGCCATTTGGCCGAGAACCCCTGCGGCAGGCTTGGAAGGGTTCGGCCGCTTCTGCAGCAGGCCTTTTCCAAGTGGGCTTCCAGCGACCGTGATTCACAGCTGCACTTGGCATTCTGGGCCAGCCTGTCTTCCAACGGCAGCCTCCTCTCCGTCTGGGCTCTCGTCTCCCTCTTGACAGGAGAGATGGGTGGCCCCCCCGGACCCTTTTTCTCGTCCCTTACAGCAGCCTACACCTCGCCTGCCTTAAGTTTCCCCCCCTTTTTTTTTCTTTTTTAGGAATGCTTGAATACGATCCAGCCAAGAGATTTTCAATACAACAGATAAGACACCACAAGTGAGTGTTTGTTTTCTTCTCTTTTTTCCTGGTTTTTCCTTTCCTTTAACCATTTGTTTTCTGCCTCGTGAGGTTCGTGTGTCTGGGCGGGAGGCAAAGTTCCAGCTAATTTATTTTAAAATCCTTCTATCCTGCCTTTCTCCTAAGAGCAGGGTTCAAGGTGGCTCGTGACAAAAACAAAACAAAACCAGAGTTCAGGAACGGATGGTATAGAACCGATCCATTAGAGTTGTGTGCAGCACAAGGGCGTCTGCTGAAATACCTTCAAGTGCCCTTTTAGATTGTTCAGCCTTGCATCGGTTCCTGGAAACTGGGGGGCTGTACCGTAAGCTAAAGGCGGCCAGTCAAAAGGCCTCAGCAGTGGCTTATTCATACATGTTTTGCAGGAGGCGATGGATAAAAGGGCCAGCGAGAATGAACAGGATTACTGCATGTGGTCATCTGGGCAGAGAGTCCCATAGATTGTGATGGGCTTTAAATGTTAAAGCCATTACCTCGAAGTGAACCCAGAAACAAGCAGCTAACATGTGCGATATATGCAAAGCTTTCACTCGCAATTGGGCCACCATATTTTGAACTAATTGGCATTTCCGCGTTATCTTCGAGGGCAGGCCCGTGCAAACTGTGTTGCAGTAGTCTAGTTCGGCACATCAGCCAAATCCAGGAACGGCAATAGGCCCTGCGCTAGATGTAATTCGAATGAAAGCATAGTGATTGGCGGCTTGCCACTCGGGGGGGGGGCTCAAGGCAGAGGCAAGGTATGGGCAGGGATGTCCGTCTCTCAGCTGCCACACCAGGCCAGATCCATTTGTTTTTCCAGAACGAGTCGTATTGTGGGGAGGGGGCATAAGTAGGAAGTAATGCGTTTCACACTGTACTTGGCCATGTGGCTTTTAGAGGCCCTCAGGGCGGCTTTGCCAGACACAAAACAAATCAAACATATGATTGTGTAGGAAAAATGCATGGTGGGGGGGGGAGGGAGAAGAGCAGCATTGTCATGACAACCAAGGCAGCTGTAGAGTTGCAGTGAGCTTCGTCTATTATGTGACAACAGTCCTGCAAGGTAGAACAGCATCATCGTCCCCGGACTGCCCCAGGGATGCCCCCAGTTGTGCCTTTGGCCAGGGAGAGCAGCACTGAGAGCTGGTTCTGCTGGCGTACCGCAGATGGATCGAACTGAGCATTTCCTGCTAGCTGTGCAGTGAGGGGCTTAACCCTGTGGTTATATGTGTGCAACGACCCCGTTTAAAGCCTTTCCTAGAAACTCCGTGATGGGGCTGACCGAGGCCCGCCCAGTCCCAGTGTCACATTGCTAGAGGCTGGCTGGCTGCCTCCAGAAAGCCTACAATTCAACCACAGAAGTCATCGCCTTCTCCCCACATCTCCATTTTGAGGTAGACTGTCCCCGTACTGGGAGGTTTTCCCACCCAGCCTGTTGCAGCGGCTGACTGCGTGTGTGTGTGTCTGCAGTGGCTGCTGCACCCAGCGGCGCCTACTGCATTCTCCGTCCCTGTTCCTCCACCCGCGTGGCTGTGTGCGAGCATTTGGGTCTGGCTAAGCCTGCTGGAAACGAAGAGCTTTCTCGGGAGACCTTGTAATGCAGTCTGACCAAGCAGGAAGGGATTCCGGGCCCGGGGGCAGGGAGGGTCTTAGATACGTAGGTCTGGAGCCCTGGTCGAGCGCCACCCCTTGCCCCTTAAATTGGGCAAAGCGGTCTACCCTGAGGCTTCTCACTCTCTTCTGGCACTGTGCTGGCACACACCTTCCAGGGTGCTTTACATCCGCCTTTCTGAGCTCTTATCCCCACGTTGCTTATCTGGGCAGGGGCCTCTGCTTGACCTGCAGAAGGTCCCGGGCTCAGTCTTCCTCCCGGCATCTCCCGTTAAAAGAGCCAGGCAGGAGGTGATAGGAATGACCTCTCCCTGAGATCCCGGAGAGCGTCTGCCAATCTGAGTGGACACTACCGATCCTGATGGACCAAAGTTCTGATTCAGGGTAAGGTAGCTAAAGGTATTCACTGTATGGGAGGGGCGGTGGCTCAGTGGAAGAGCCTCTGCTTGGCACGCAGAAGGTCCCAGGTTCAGTCCCCGGCATCTCCCGTTGAAAGAGCCAGGCAGTAGGGGATGGGAATGACCTCTCTGCCCGAGACCCCGGAGAGCCACTGCCATTTTGAGTGGACAGTACTGACCTCCATGGATCGATGGTATAAGGCAACTTCCTGCGTGTGGGTGTGCCGTGTTCATTCTTTTCTCCTGCCCTCCCACCCTCCGGAGGGTCCAAAGAGGCACCTGCAGCCGTGCTGTTCGTGTCCAGATCCACCTGCTTGAGGCATGCCCAGGGGGAGGGAAGCAGTCGCTTGCTGGCCCTCCTGCCCTCCAGCCATCGTTCTATTTCTCCTTTCATGCTTCTAGTCCTGAGACTGCCGCAAAGATGATCTCAGAGCACTGGGGTGATCTCGGCAGCCGGAGCGGAAGCTGAATAAGCTTTCTGGTTGGGGGGGGGAATCATCGCCCCTCCCCTTATCTAGCAAAACCCAAGACGAAATCGTGAACAGCAAGAAGATGGTACAAGTATTCTGTCGGCATAACATGCAGGTGCAGAATTTAGATCGCTTCGAGGAACTTTAAAAAAAAAAATAATCAGGGAGCACACGTAGCCCGAAGCCTTGCCTGTTTTGACCGAAGAAATTGGCTGTCTCCTTGGGCAAGCGGCAAAAGGTGCTCCAAGGCCCCCTCCCCTGATGGATCAGGGAGGGTTGGGGTGGAATGGGGGGGGGGAGCCCTGCTTTGGGCGGGCGAGGGCAGACCTTGAGGTGCCTAGGACCCTGCTAGGACCCCCTCTCTCGTCTGTTAATCCGAGCGTGTGCTTCACACCCTCTGCCCCTCCTAACAAAGCTTGAGCTGTGTTTGCACGCTTTAAGGGCTCTGCTGCAGCACTCAGGGAAGGCTGACAGCCGGTGAAGTGGCTACCGAGCATGCGCCCTCCGCCTCCCCGTCGCCAAGGCAACTCACCTTGCCGCCCCCCCCCCATCGCATGTAATTTACTCAGGCCCTGGTTGTTCTCCCGAGCAGAGCAAGAGGGAAGCGTGAGGGGTGTGGGGGAAGGGAGGGCGGGTCCGGCACATCTGCACAAGCAGCACATTGAGGTGGCCGGGCAGCGAGGGACCCTGTCACTGACCCTCACGTCTGGCTTGTGCTGTGGATTCAACTAGGCAGCGTGAGGCAAGGATGTACTCCCCCCCCCCACCTCCACCACCACGACTAGTGTAGGACCCAAGCCAGTGTTCCTTATTACAGGGGTTTTGTATTACTGATGGTGTAACCTGGCCATGGTGTATTTGATGGGGGAGGTTATTGTCCCAACAAAGCATGCCAAATGCCTCGATCTTCAGGGCTCGCTGGCTGAAAATGTTTCCCAGGCGAAGTCCAAAACAGAAAGTCATGCCATATGTTGAGTATAAGAACATAAGAAAAGCCCTGCTGGATCAGACCAGGGGTCCATCCAGTCCAGCATCCCATCTCAGACCGTAGCCAACCAGTTCTTCTGGAGGGCCAACAACAGGGCACAGAGGCTGAGGCCTTCCCCTGAGAAGAAGAGCCCTGCTGGATCAGACCAGTGGTCCATCTAGTCCAGCATCCCGTCTCAGACGGTAGCCAACCAGTTCCTCTGGACAGCCAACAACAGGGCATGGAGGCCAAGGCCTTCCCCTGATGTTGCCTCCTGGCTCTGGGATTCAGAGGCCGACTGGCTCTGAATGTGGAAGTTCCCCTCAGCTGCCGTGGCTAGTAGCCACTGATAGTTTTATCCTCCATGAATCTATCTAGTCCCCTTTGAAAGCTGTTTATTCCTGTGGCCATCACGGCATCATCTGGCAGCCAAGTCTACATTTCAGTCACTCTGTGTAAAGAAGTTATTTCCTTTTGTCTGTCCTGAATCTACTGCCCTTCAGCTTCCTTGGATGCCCTCAAGTTCTAGTATTTTGGGAGAGGGAGAAGAAGTTCTCTTTTGTCAGCTCTCTCCGCCTCAAGCGCGACATCACAACACTATAACAAACTATTGCAAGCTCTTGAGTTCTCTTGAGCACTTCATGAGGCTGGACGGTTTGAGTTCTGTTTGCTCTTTAACGGGGGAGAGGCTGTCACTCTCTGTGGCAAAGGCCCATGTCTGCAGTGGTCGTCTTCCAGCGGTGAAGGGGCTGTGGCCTGGCCACGTAAAGGGGGCATCTGAGAGCTCTGAAGTGGCACGAGGGAAATCAGCAAGGAAGGCCACCCGCATCTTGCTTCCACTGGTCTGTGTGTATCTATTGAATGTTCCCCCAAATCTTGCTTCCACTGTTCTGTGTGTATCTATTGAATGTTCCCCCAAACCGGTTTTGTGACCAGCGCTTTTCCCGGCTGCCTTGGTTTGCCCTTCTGCTGACTTGCCCCAATATCTGTCTCTGTCTCTCTCTGTGTCTCTGTCTCTCTGTGTCTCTCTCTCTCTGTTTCCCCCCCACACTTTCTTCTCCGCATCCTCATTAGCATGGATACATATGCAGATGATTGAATTTAATCTCCCAAAGGGCAGGAATCAATATTGTTCTGCAGGTTTCCCAACCTTATCCAAAACCTATTTTTACTCTCCAATAAGTAGGACAAGGAGGAGAGAGGGGAAGATGGTTTAAATTAGAGCAAAATATGAACTTCAGTGGTCTGGCGCTCCTCAGCATCCTCGCCCTTTTGATCGTTCCCTTGGCTGCCTTTTATGCAGATTCTCGAAAGGTGTCCCGCAGGGCCGCGGACATCACAGGGTCCTTTTTTAATGGAATGGTTTTTTTAAAAAAACCACAGAGTTAACCTTGAGCTTTCACCTTAGCTGACGATTGGGGTCCAACAGGCCCTGGGAAGTAAGGGAGAGATGATACAACTTGTCATTGGCTGTAAATTGCAGTGTTTAAACTTAGGGGGTTGGTCATTTTCATCTCCAGTGATACTGAACAGGAAAGTGAGATTGACAAATAGGGTGAAATTCTGGTTTCTTCCCTCCCTTCATGCCTTTGCTGCTGTTCTGTTCCTGTAACGGTCAAAAGAAAATACTTAATGAAGCATAGACTTTGGGGGGGGGGGGGTTTGCCCTTTGCAGTTAATACCCCAGCTGTTAAATCAATGGTATACTGCCTCGTCACATGGAGGTTCTCCTATACTGTCACAGCGAACTGCCACTGACTCACCTAGTCCTGTTTGTTTAGGTAGATAGGCCGGTGTTCTGACCGCGTACACTGCAGTCTCCTATCCATAAGCCCTAAAATGAAGAAGAGGGCAAAAGTGAGCTGTTATCTTTCTCTTTTGGAGCACTGTCACCGGAGAAACGTCAGCTGGAGGAGGAGCAGGGGACGGTGACAGAGTGCAGAGCAAAAGTTCAAGGCATTGCCAAGTGACAGGCCTACGGCCAGAGGTTGCTAATCATTGCTTCCTTGACACAGTCTGTCAGCTCTGGCCCCAAAGCCAACGGCACTTGGCTCGCGGCCTGCGCCGGGAGCTACATTGCCACGACACGAGACAGAGGGCTGGTTTGGTGGCCAGAGCCACACCAAGCACGCAGGAATCGGGCCTCCGGCTCCACTGGCACAGGAGAGCTCGGCTCGGGTGAAGCCTTAAACTGCCTGTGTCCGCCATCCCTTGGATTTGCTTCCTCGTTGAAAGATAAAAAGGTTGATGCTTGGGGTGTGGCTTTTGCCTGTGGTGTCTGTCCTCTTCCCTTGACTTAGGGATAGACGGGACAGAGCTGGCGACACAACGCTCCCTCTAAGCTGTGGGAGTCTTGTGAGCAAACATTCCACTTTGCAAGCTCCTGGCATTGAAGTGGTGAGCGAGCGATTGGGCTGCTGCATGAATCAGTTTGCTCTGGAGCCCTCCTTCTCGAGCGGAGACAAAAATGGGTGAGCCAGAGGCTGGAAAACTCTGAGCGAGCTCACACTGACTCAGCTTAGAGGGAACACTGGCTACTAGTACGGGGGGGCTTTTTAAAAAGGAGCGAACAAACCAACAGCGCTTAGCTGTTGAAGTGGAACTTCTGGGTCCAGGGGACAGTGACAGCAGGGAGCGGTACCGCACTAGCCAGAGCCCTTGGAACGAGATTTGTCCAGAAGCGGTGGAGTAACAGTCATTGGAACACCTTGACACACCAGAAAGGTGCCAAAGAGACCTTGGCAGTCTGAGATCTTTGGGGGGGGCACTTTTTCCTGGACTCCTCCTCCAGGCTGAGGCTCAGCAGTTAGAGCAGAAGGTCTCCCAGGTTCGATCCCCGCCATCTCTGGTTAAAAGGACCAGGTAGTAGGCGATGTGGAGAACCCCCGCCTGAGTCCCCGGAGAGTTGCTGCCAGTCTGAGTAGACAAGACTCACCGTGATGGACCGAGGGTCTGATTCAGTAGAAGGCAGCTTCATGTTTTCCTGGCTTTGCACAAGGACGACCCAGCGAAACGGGCAGGTGGGCTAAGAGGAAGCGAAGGACTCTCTCTGTAGCAAATGAGGGGGACCAGTGAGTGCAGGAAGTGCCTTCTACACCCCCGGCTCCAGGAGGGGGGGGGATGCTGGGGCTGAGCCCTGGGAAAGCAGGCTTGTGGCTACCCCCTCCCCCGAGGACCTGTTAACCCCCGCCTCGCTTCCCCCTTGCAGCTGGTTCCGGAAAAAGCACCCGCAGTCCGAGCCTCTGGTCCCCATCCCCCCCAGCCCGGAGACCAAGGACCGGTGGAGGAGCATGACAGTGGTCCCTTACCTGGAAGACCTGCACGGCTACAACGAGGAGGAGGAGGAGGACTTGAAAGAGGACTACTTGGAGGACGAGATCATCTACACTCAGGACTTCCCAGTGCCAGGTAAGGGAGCTCCCGGGGACGGGTCCCCCGGCCTGTCGAATTGGCAGGGCGTCCATATTGCTTGGTGGGGCTACTGGTGTAACGGGAACGGGTGGACCTTGCACAGAAACGTTTATGCCCCTTCTGGGAACCGCGCAGCTCTACCTTACTTGGATAATTGGTCGCATAGCACGCCCTCTCCAGGGTGGTTGCCTGTGGCCCTCCAGTCCCTTACAGAACCCCCGTGGGCTCGTGCAGTGTCAGGCAACTGTGCAGTCTAGCCGTCGCACAAATCCGGGAGACTTCTAGTACCGCGTGCGAAAGAGGTTACAGAGTTCATACACAGCTGTAGGGCTTAACGTGTGCTATTTTAGGCCGGTGACAACAGGGTGGTGTTTTAAGTCTCTAGTGTCCTTGAGTAAAACTTCACACCTACACTGGGTTGGGTTGGCGGCTCTATCAAGGAAGCCCAGCGTGAGGGCCTTACCGTGGTGATGTGATCGGTAGTAGTCCCCTGTTCTCCTCCCCCCCCCCCCAAGGCTTCAAAACAAACCCTGGCACTCGGGTGACATGGAGGCGGCTTGCTTCTCCGAGACCGCCGCTGCCATAGAAACGCAGCTGTAGGGAAGAAGAGAGATGCTGCCTTCCGCATTGGCCAGGGCCAGCGGTCAAGGAGGCATGAATGTGTCTGGTCCAAATTCAGTCGCTCGCTTCCACAGTCTGGTGCAAACGCCGGCCGGTGAGACTTCTTGGGCTTGGGACAAAATGTATTTCGGCAAGGGGTCACCACTACCTCCCCCTCCCAAGTCCTGCAGCCTGGCACAGCCCCAGGGCTTTTAGGGGCAATAATGCCCCCCGCCCTGGTGGATCTTCTCCTGCCACATCCCTTTGTATCTTCTGTGAAGGGTTCTCCCCGGCTCTTTCCTTTCTCTCATTTTTAAAGACAGGCTTTTAAAATAACTGTGTTTACAGTGGACCGAGCATCCACCATGCCCGACTCACGTGGCTGGCACTGCTTCCCTTAAGGTTATTTTTCCATTCCGCTGAGCGCCTTCCTTCCCCTGCCCGTGTGGCCGATGGCACCCTAGCTGAAGAGACTCCTTGCAGAGGGGGATGCCCCCCCCAAAAAAAACCCCAAATGGTCTTGGGACCAGTTTCCTAATGCTTGTTTGGTGTCAAGAGAAGAGTCGACGCAGGTGAGATGGAAAGAGAGGTGGGTCCCCAGACCCCTCTGCTGTTTGTCTACGCTGGCTCCAGTCAGCTTCTTAGATCTTCATAGTTTAGAAGATGCCTCCGGTACTAGTTCCCAAGAAAAAAATCAATGACCTCTCTTTAGCTTTGTGTGCTTTGCCCCTCGAAAGGTTAACTCTTTGTGCCAGGGAGAGTTAAGGTGACCAAACAGGCGTGTGTGTTTCTCTGGCTGGACATAATCCTGCTTTTGCTCACGGAGGACTAGAACTCTGCATCAAAGGGGGTACCGAAGCCTGCCCTGGCCCTTGGAAGTTTCATTCAGCTTCCAAGGTTTCAGTAGAAAAGAGCAAGAGCAGCAGCCCCTTAAAGGCTAACAAAGTTTGTGGCAGGGGAGGAGGGTTTGTGGTATCTGACGAAGTGAGCAGTGGCTCACGAAAGCTCATCCCCTGCCACAGATTTTGTTAGCCTTTAGTGTGTTCCTGGACTCTTGCTCTTCTACAGACAGACTGACTCGTCTCCCCATCTCGATCTATCCTCCACGGAAGGTTTCAGTAGACATCGATCACTCGTGGGGGGGGGGGGTGTTTCCACCGCCAAAAGGGCTAGGAACCTGGTTTCTTCAGAAAGAAGTGAGGTTCTCAAGAAGCCGGAGTGGCAGCATTCGCAAAGCCTCGCCCGTGCCTTACCCTGCCCGCCCACGCTGATGGGTCTGGAGCGGAAAGAGGGCTGTGCTCCTCTGCCTTTGGGGTCCCAGCCGACACGGAGCCCGGGACTCACACGCCCCGCAAGAGGTTTCCGCCCGCCCTGATCGTTGTCCCGCCTAACTGCTCCCCTGTTGCATTCCCCAGGTGTGTTCGAGGCAGGGCTTAGAGAGGAGGAGGAGGAGGCGAGCGCAGATCAGGAGGGCCTGCTGGCGTACCTGTTTGGAGATGCAGACTTGACGACCAGCACCGAGGAGGAAGGAGCCAGAAGCGTAGCTTAGGAGGCCGGAGAGGACCGGGGAGCTGCTGGTTCCGGCCCCGGCTAGAACGGTCTCGATCTCGGGCAAGGGGAGGGGGTAGCGGGAGGAGGGGAGGGAGAAATCTGCCAGGTAGACTCCAGCCAGACGTAACTTTCGAAGGGGGGGGGGGCACACTTTGTTTTGTTTCTGAAGGTCCTAAAACCTTGGGGATGTCGTCCCAAAGACACGACTGCAGACCGAGCACCCGATAAGCCTAAGATTTCCACGGCGGTTCCGAGTTACCCTTTCCTCGGGCGTGCATCCAGCCAGGCCCGGCCCAGATCTGCAGTGGCCCTTACCTGTCCTGAGCGCTCTGGAGTTAAGCAAACCAATGTGGGGGTGTCTTCCTCCCCTCCCACCACCACCACCACTGTTTGTTTCCGTGCCAGGGGGAAGCGCCTCCGTGATTAACTCCAGAGTGTTCGGCAGAGGAGGAGAAGGAACCGCAGTCGAGCCCTGGGAAACGGGCTGGGGAGCCCGCATCCCGTGCGTCCGTGACCTTGGGGGGTGAGGTGCAAAGCGGTGGCCACTGTTCAGTGGTGGCAGCGTCACTGTCCAGCAGCTGGCATCCTTGGTAGCAGCCCACCTGTGCTGAGGAGGCTCTTGGGTGAGTGACCATACCAAGCAGCTCTCCGCAGTTGATTACTCTTCCCTGAGCCTGACCCGTGCACGGCCCCGAGGCGGCAGCGGCGGCAGCTCCCTCCTGCCCTGTAAAGCCTTGAAGCTTAACTCCTTGGTCAGGGGAATGCCTGCATCGGGCACAGGGGAACGAGGCCCTCTGAGCAAACACCCCCCACCTCCCCCCGCACTCCTGCCACTCTGCTCTCTCCGACACCCCTCCCCCAACACCAGTCCAGCCTCCCACCGTGCCCATGGGCGGAAGGGCTAGAAAGTCCCTCTCTCGTTTCGTCCCCCTTTGCATATCGTGGCCCTGTACCACGTACGGCAATCCCAGCACAGGATTACAGAAATCAGAGGAGTGGTCGAACACCAGGAGGACCCCCGCGGCGGACGGTTTTGATCCACGGTGGTGGTCCGCCACCGAGGCCCATCCGCCAGCTAACATTACTATCCCGAGGACCGGGAGAACTTCACTCCCCTGCAGCGGGGGGCATCAGCCCCTCCGTGGGTATGAGGAGATAGTCACCACCCCAGCCTTACTCATTCGCTGTTATCTGTTGCTTATGCAAACGGCTGCGTTTGAGAGCCTGCGGAGGGCTTGTCAGTCAGTGGGCTTGACGTGCAATTACGGGAAGAGGTTTGATAGTCTCTCTCTCTCCCTCTTCCCTCCCTGTTTTCAGTGGCTTGTTCTGCCACCTCTCCTGGGTAACAAAAAAGCTCTTTATCTCCACTCCCCCACAGTTAAGGGTACGTCCTTTTAAAAAAAATGTTATTGCATCCCCGGTTTTGTTACATTAAGCTGTTCTTTGCAACCTTTCATAACCTAGTAAGTAAGCGTTCTTTTAAAAAAATGTTGAGTTTGAATAGCAAAATAAAACCTTTTTTTTAAAAAAAAACAACAACCCAATCTGGCTCCTCACATTTCAGCAGCTTTGCAAGTTTATTTCATAGTAGACTGGTTATTTGTCAAACAGGCGCTATACCCACCAGGAGCAGGGGGTGGAATTCGGCTCACCAGAACAGGCGTTTGTTTAGCTAAGGGGGCACCCCCCTGCCCCTTCCAGAAGCTTGGATCGGGTGAGAAAATATTAAAAAACGCAAGCTTTTCAAATCCATCTGGAAAGGGCTTAGAAAAGGAATAATTCAAGCCCACCCCCAAATCCCCCCCACCCCCGTGCGGGCCTGAAACCTGCTCACCTGGGAAAGGATCTCGTGAAAGACCCAGAGGACCAGTGGAGATATGATTGCCAGCCTCCAGGTGAGACCTGGAGATTCTCCTCACAATTCTAACTCACCTCCAGGCTACAGAGATTGGGTTCCCCCTGGAGGACATGGCTGCTTTGGAAGGTGGGCTCTGTGGCATTCGTACCCCCACCTTCCAAAGTTTGGAGAGCCAGTTTGGTGCAGTGGTTAAGTGCGTGGACTCTAATCTGGGGGAACCGGGTTTGATGCCCCCACTCCTCCACTTGCACCTGCTGGATGACCTTGGGCAAGCCATAGTTCTGTCAGAGCTGTTCTTGAAAAACGAGCAGTTTCTGTCAGAGCTCTCTCAGCCCCACCTACCTCACAGGGTGTCTGTTTTGGGGAGGGGAAGGGAAAGGAGTTTGTAAGCCACTCTGAGACTCCCTTGGGTAGTGAAGGGCGGGGTATAAATCCAATCTCCTTCTTCTTCTTCCCCCGGACACTGTACCCAGCTCTCCTGGCATTTCCCCGCTGACAGCCCTACTTGGAGAGCTGCGACCAGTCAAAGTAGCCATTAGACGGTTGGGTCCAGGGTGAGGCAGGTTCATCTTTTCAGTATCAGGGGTAGGCTGAGTGGAAGGGTGTCTGCTTCACAGGCTGAACGGCCCAGTTCCGTCACCTCCACTTGGTGGATCTAGGTCTGCCAGACCTGGGGAAAGCTTTTCCCTGCCTGAAGAAGAAGAATGGTTGGTTTTATACCCCACCCTTCACTACCTGAAGGAGTCTTGGAGCTGCTTACGAGCACCTTTCCCACGAGATGCGGTAGGTGGGGGCTGAGGGAATTCTGAGAGAGAACTGTGACTAACCCAAGGTCGCCCAGCTGGCTGCATGTGGAGGAGGAGTGGGGGATCAAACCCGAGACCTTGGAGAGCTGCTGCAGTGGTGGACTTAAGAGCCGGGCTCTGTGTTAGGCCGCCTCATATGTTCATAGGTCAGACAGTCCCGTCCCCCCGTTAGTGGGATGGCA